TTTTCAAACTTTGAGAATAATTAAGGTAATACTGGTACTAATTTTTCTACAAAATTTGATAGAATTCTCTATCAGGACCAGGAATTTTTTTGTTGGTTGTTCCTTAATAGATAATTTTGTTTCTTTTTCTGAGATTGGATTATTTATGATATCTATTTAGTAATCTGTTAGTTTGGGTATTTTATATTTTTAAGGTATTCTTATATTTTCTTTTGTATTCTCAGGTTTATTAGCATATAATTGTGCATAGTAGGTTCTGATAATTTTTTTATTTCTTATTGTTTTGTTGTGATTTCACCTTGTTCATTTATTATTGTGTTGATTTTGATTTTCTTTCCTCTTCTTCTTAGTCAGATTGGTTAAAGGATTATCAATTTTTTTATTCTTTTCAAAGAACTAGCTTTCAATTTTAACATTTTTAGTTTTTTTTGGTCTTTCTTCTCCAATGGAAGTATTCATCACTTGTACCCCCTCCCAACACTGAAACACAAGATTTTTCTTTTATTTCCCTGTTTCAATTCTCTCCTTTCCTTCCTCTCTAATTCTCCTATAGGCTCTTTTTGTCTTGAGAGACTATAGAAGTTATTTTCCCTTCATTGTTAACCTTTACTTGATTAAGCTACACAACAGATTCCTCTCTATTCTCTTCTTCCCCTCTTCCCTTTTATGCATATTCCCATTCTGTAATTTAATCCCACAAAAACATTAAATCACCGGTAGATGGGATTTTGGAGGGGTTTGGTCCACTGTGTTTTAGTCCTGCTTTCCTACTTCTGTTTGACGTCTGCTTTCATCTGTCGCCTTGTGTATTTTTGGAAAGAAATGATCTGTCTGTTGTTATTTTGTTGTTGTTGGCCTTGGCTGTCATGTTTGTTTACCTTTTATTCATCTCTGCTTTCTAGGATATTTGCAAAACAAACAATTTATTTGGGTTTGATTTTCTTCCCAGGAATGCTTTGACTACTTTCTTTTTTTAATTGAATGATAATCTTTTTTCACTAATGGTTAGGTTCAAGTTCTCAGAGTATGAAACCTTAGGTTTCACCTTGAGCTCTTTTGACCCTTAAGAACACATTCCGTTCCCTCCTGTGGTTTTTAGTGGATGCATAATGGTCTTGCATTATTTGGACTTCCTTTCCTTTATGTTTGAAGGGTTTTTTTTTGCAGAATTTATGTTTTTGTCTTTGGAATTATTCAGTTTAACACTATATGTCTTAGAGTTTGCCACATAGAAGTTTTTCTTCTTTTTTTCTGGACTAATTTGTGGATTGAATCAAATGGCACTTTGTTTTGTGCGTTCCAAAGTTCTGCGTAGGGTTTTGTATTGTTTCTTGTCTTAACGGTGTCCAGGTTTTTTATCTTGTTGTGTTCTTCTGGGAGACCTATAACCCTTAAATTTTCTCCATGCATCCTGCCTTTGAGATCAATGTCTTGTTGTATGGAGATCATGTTTTTCTTAAATGTTATTGCTTTTTGCCTTTATTCCAGATTTCATTTCTGTGTATTTTCCTTCCCAATAATTTTGTTCTCTCTTTTGTTCTTTGGCAAGACTTGCCACAGTGGATTCAAGTTTTTTCTATTCTGCCAATTATTTCTGCTGTGCAGAAAATAAATTCTACTTTCACAACTCTTCTTTCTCTTTTAAACCATTCAGGAACATCCTGCTGTAGTTCTATACTCTCTTAGGCATCCACAGGTATTCTCCCTCACCAGATACTGATTCATTTTTCTTTGTCTCACAATATTTATTCATAGGCGTCTGGACTCACTTAGATGATCTGGAGGGCACATTCCCTTAGAGACAGCTGGTGGTGCAATGGATAGAATACTAGGTACCCAGATCACCTAACAGGGAGGCCCCCACATGGGAGACACTACTGACCACGGGATGTGGACTATTCTACTTATGCAGCCAGTGGAACAGTCCACATCTTTAAAATCACCTGACTGGGACAATTTTGCTCTCTTTCCAGAAGCATCCATAGGATGAAGGTCCTATTCACCCATAGCAAAGGCACCGTGAACTAATGTAGGTGAGAGGAAGGATAGCTCATTCTTCCCTTTCTTAAGTCTCTTTGCTGCCCTCCCCCCAAAGTAAGTTGGGGTTTTGTTCTGCTTCATTTTTCCTTTTTAGTTCTAGGCACCAGCAGTGGAGTCACTGGAGCTGGATTTGAGCCATGGCAACTTTGGAGGAAGGATTCCAGGCTAGATGTTGGTGCCAGCCCAGCAGGGGAGACCTTAGAAGCCAGGGTATCTGAGACTTACACCCAAGTGGGGCTTTTCTTTTTTGAACTTGGTGGGACTGTGCTATAGACTAGGAACTGAACTAAGCTGTGAACCTGATTTTCCTTCCCCTCTCCAGAGGCAGAAGTGGTATAGGGGAGGATTAAATCCCTTAGGTGTTGGGAGAAATGTTTGTAAGTTTGTTCTTACTATACCTTTGAAGTAAAAATTTCTTTGTAAAAGCTAATCCAACTACTTAGTGCTTAAATAGAACTAGGTGGCTGGGGACCTCCAAAATTGGGGGAATACCATTGGTGGGGGCTTGAGCCAATGGCAGAGAGACTAGACACTGCCAGTCCTCCTTAAGGACACCAGAGAACCCTGGGGAGCAGTGAAACGGAACATAGCTGGTCTTCAGGTAGTGGGGTTCAGAGTAGTCACTGTTAGATGAATTTTTTCCTTTCTGAAATCCTTGGTAATTTCTGTCTTTTTTTTTTCTTTACCTTTCCATATTGATCATTTTCTGACTCCTCCCCTTTTGATGGTGGTTTCTCTGGGAACTGGATCTGAAAGCCAATTCAACTTTAAGCAACCACAGTCCCTACTTTTTTTACTCTTTTGACTTTTGGTGGGACAGAACTGGTGCTAGATGATTTTTGCACTCTTTCCCTCAGGCTCAGCAGAGTGCCACACAGACATTTTCTGCCCTACTTCCCTTTTTTCCTGACTTCTTTGGCTAAGCCTTATTCCTGGCTGTCCCAGCCAGATTAAGCTTCTGCCTTTAGATTTTTCCCTGCCTTAGGGTGCAGGTATGCCTGTGGATCAGAGCTTGCACAGCTCTGCCAAATGGGAGAGGCATGTTAGAGTTCAAGGATTGGCCTTCTATTTGAACCCTAATTAGTTAATTGAATCCTTATTGAACCCTATTAGTTCATTGGGTTTTTTCTGCATTGGGTCCTGGTGTCCTGGCCCATGAAGACAGCTGAAAATGCTTTGTCTGTTGCATATAATTCCTGTGTTGGAGAGATTTGAAAAATTGTGAGGATTGGGGGAAAAAAAGTCTAGTTTGCCATCTTGTTGGTCATCTGACCTAGATCTTTTCCTATGGTCTCTCAGGTAAAACTCAGCTTCCTTCCTTTGATATTCAAGAATGTTTACAATCTGACACCATTCTGCCTTACCAGCCTTACTTTATACTATTCCCTGTATGTCTATTTACACCATTCTCTATTCCAATATGCTTATTCCCTATGTCTTCCCTTATTCACTGATACAATGGTCACACAGTTAGATTGCAACCTAGATTTTCTGACTCTGCTATACCAGGTTAGAGCTGATGGCCTCTGGAGTTTCCTTCCAATTCTTAGACTCTGATTCTAATAGAAACTGTTTGAAAGAAGACCCAGTAGTAGTTTTGTAATTTGGCTTAATAGGCTGGTACCTTTAGAAAGTAAGCAGCTTAAGGTCTTTCCCAGGTTTCAGTTTGTCTGAGGCAACACCCATTCAGTGACTAAAGGCTAAGTAAGAATTGAGGCAAAAGATGGCCTAGTTTGACTTCACAAAATAATCATTCCGGGAGAGGAAGACCCTCAGAGTTTCTGGCCAGAACAGAAAAGCAACTGTTATTTACATTCACTATGTGCCATCAAAACCCAAACAATGGTCAAGAGAGGCTTGGGCTGGGACCTATTGTTGGCCCATTAATAAAAGCCAGTGATTTGGATTTAAAATCATAATCAAATAGCTCCATGGGCTTTTTCAGAGCCTTTTTTCCCCAAGCTATATTTCAAGAAATCATAAATGAAAACTACACGAGACAAAGAGTTAGCTGTCTCAGTTTTCTTGGCCAAGCTCTCCATACCTTAGGGTTTTTTTTTTTCCACTTACAAAATGGTGGAAAGCAAGACCTTCACTATCTCCCTCACAAGGTGGTTAGGAGGACCAAATGAGGGAGTGCACACAAAGTCTTTTGTAAAATCCAAATGACGCTATGAATGTCAGTGATGATTAATATTGTTATGAATCAAATATATTTCTGTCAGTTTTTTTAAAAAAAGAAAGTAAGCAGCTTGAGGGCAGGTAACAGCTCTCTTCCTGCTTGTGTTTGTATGCCAAGTGCTTAGCACAGTGCCTGGCAGTCAGTCAATAAGCATTCATTAAGCCCCTACTATTTTTGGGGGGGAAGGGCACCCTACAAAAACCTGGGAATATAAAGGCAAAAGACAGTCCTTGCGCTCGAGTAGCTCACACAGTAAGTGCTTAAAAAATGCTTGTTGACTTGACTTTGCAAAAAGGAGGTTCCCACAAATGACTAATAGTTGGGGACTGGGCAGCTGGACCCTACTGCGTTTGAGAGATTGTTTAGGTGCCCCATATTTTAAGGGGAAAGGAAGGCGACTGTGAGAGGAGTGCATTGTAGTTTGGTTGGAGGAGGACTGGATCAGAGTCTGGAGAATCAGGCAATGCTAGAGGTGATCTTAGCAATCACCCTGGCCAACCACCATCCTTTTAGGGATGGGGAAAGAGGCCAGGAAAGGATGTTCTAGGCCTTCTCAAGGGTTGGGAAGGAGAAGGAGGAGGCGGGGAAGAGGGTGAGTGGGACGGAGAAAGGGAGGTAGGGGGGGCGGTGGATGCACTACTAATCTGCACCTCTCACGTGTGTTTGGAAGCTAGGGTGTCATTGCGCATGTGTGGAAGCGCGCGCACGCGCTGCAGTTGGCAGGGCGCAGACCGCGGCTTGGAGCTGGCAGAAGAGGGGTTGGGGGAGGGAGGAGGAGGAGAAGGAGGAGAGTTACTTTTTACCCCGCCCCTCGTGCCCCACCCCGCTCAATGCGTGCGACGTGACGGTTTGCCCAGGCACCCCCAACACTACCCAGGGGCGAGAGCGCTCTCGGGTCCCATGATGCATCGCGTGCCGCGTCTCGCAGAGCGGCGGCTTGCAGCTCAGCAGGTAGGCCTCCGGCCTCGGCCCTCCCTCTTCGCGAGGGCCCCCCCCACCTCCGATCGAGGGGCCTGGCCCCACCCTTCTCTTATCCGCCCCAGTCCGGGTGCCCCCAGCTGTCCCCTGTCCTTCCTCCCTGGCCTCCCTTCCCCATGTCGTGTGACCCTCCAGGTGACGGGAGCCTCATTCCCGCCCGCGCCCACCCCGTCAGCGACCCGGCGTGGTGAAGGGGGTAGGGGAAGGAAGAGGGGAGAACCGTGTGTGTGTGTGTGTGTGTGTGTGTGTGTGTAAGTAAATCATTGTGGCAGCGTGTAGTGTGCAAGTTTGGACGCGAGATTGTCAAGCAGCTGGCACCGGCTTCGTCATTTAATTCTGCCTCCGTTTACAAAGGGTCAGTTCAATTTAGTAAACATTTATTAAGTGCCTGCTGTATGCCAGGCACAGAGCTAAGCACCGGCGATACAAAAAGAGGCGAGAGACTGCCCCTGCCTTCAGGGTGCTTACAATCTAATGGAGGAAATAACATGCAAACAACTATCTACAGAGTGGATAGATAGGAAATAGAGAAAGCACTAGAATTAAGAGGGATCATTAAAAGCTTCCTGGAGAAGGTGGGATTTTCCTTGTGATATGGAGGAAGCCGGGGAGGTCAGCAGTTGGAGCAGAGGAAAGGGAGCGTCCCAGCCACGAGGGGCCGCCAGAGAACATGCCCGGAGCCAAGAGATGGAGGGTCTTGGGATTGTTAGAGGCCGCTGTCACTTGGGGAGGAAAGTGTAAGAAGACTGGAAATGGGGCGAGCTTAGGAGGGGCTTTGAACTTGAGACAGAACGTTTTGTGTTTGCTCTCAGAGGCCAGAGGAAGCCCCTGGAGTTTGTTGAGTAAGGGGGTGGGGGAGGTGGGGGTGACAGGAAGCTCTTATGTAGGAGCCAGACTTTGTACCGGGTGGGTGTTGAAAGACTGAAGGAAGACACACCTGCTTTCAAGGAGCTTGGATGTCAGCGGGTGGGATTGAGGCCCTGGAAGACAAACCTAGATCATGATGATAGGGAAAGTACAGTTAGAGGCCGAAGGAGAATTCCAAGTACGGGCTGCCTCCGAAGTTTTCGTGCAGTTTCAAGTTATTAAAAGCGTATATTTAAAGTTATTAAAGCAACACCGGCCCTGGAGTCAGGAGGACCAGAGCTCAAATTCGGCCTCAGACACAAAACACTGTGTAGCAGTGTGACTCTGGGCAAGTCACTTAACCCCAATTGCCTCACCAAAAAAAAATTACGGAAAAAAATTAGTTATTAAAGCTTAAAACTTACCTAAGACTTTTGGAACACCTGCTGTGCTTTTCAACTCATCAACTAGAATCTATGAAGCACAAGTACTGCTTGGTACTTGCTCTGCTGGGCTGAGATACAAAGATAAACCCTGCCCTCAAGGAGTTGATATCGTCTGGAGAGAGGAGTGAAGGAGTAGCAGGTATATAAAATAAGTATGAAGAAAATAGATTAAAATTAGATACAAGGTTAATTTTGGGGTCAGTTGGGGGGGGGGGGGAAAGGCACTAGCTATAATAAAGGAGCCAGAAACTAACTCATGTCACTAGGTTAAGTTTTGAGGGAAGCTTTTCATTTCAAAAGGCAGAGATAAGAAGGAAATGCATTCTAGGCCTGCAAAGGCACCAAATTTATTAAAAGCATACATTGTAGTTTGTAATAGGCTTAGAGCGGGACCATAATATCATAACAGTACCTCACGTTTCTGTAGCATTTTAATAATACCTTCTCAGATCTCCTTTGCACTCTGGCACCCCTCTGCCCAGATCTCTCTCTTCTTCCTTCCTCTTCTTACATCACTGAAATGCTTTTTGGCATTTTTTTTCTACTTCACCATTGTCTCATATGAAGTGGCTCTTCTTGCCAAGAAAACCTTCTTCAAGCACAACTGACCCCCCTTCTATCCCATCCTATCCCTTCCCATCCTCTTCAGCAGATTGCCCAGTCATCCCCATTCTCTTACTTATTTTCAATCCCTCCTTGTTTACTAGTCCCCACTGCCTACAAACACACCCATGTCTCTCCCTCAAAAAACTCTTATTTAATCCATACATCCCTGCTAGATAGTATTCTATATCATTTTTTTGTGTGACTAAACTCATTGAGAAGGCTGTTAACAATTGATGCCTCCACTTCCTTTTCTCTCACTTTCTTCTTAACTCCTCATCGTTCAACTGAAACTTTTCTCTCCAATTATTCCTTAATTGTCAAATCTAAGGGCCTTTTCTTAGGCCTTATCCTTTTTTACCTCTCTGCAGCCTTTGATGCTATTGAGCATCTTCTTGATACTCTCTTCTCCCTGGGTTTTCATGACACTGTTCTCTCTGGTTCTCCTACCTGTCTGACTGCTCTTTTCTATCTGCTTTTTTAGTTGTTTATCCAAGTCATGCCTACTAACTATAGATGCCAAGTCTTGATCCTAGGCCCTCTTCTCATCTCCCTCTTTACTGTTTTGCTTGGTGATCTCATGTTCTCCCTTGGAATCAACAGTCATCTCTGTAAATGATTCTCAGATTTATTGATCTAGTCCTGACCTCTCCTGACCTTCAGTCTCTTGTCTCCAGCTGCCTAGTGGACATTTCAAACTGAATATTTTGTAGACATTTTAAGCTTACTGTGTCCAAAAATGAACTCATCTCCCCAACCCCTCTCCTCTTCCTAACTTCTCTATTTCTGTTTGAGGGTGCCACCTTTTTTCCAGTCACAACCTAGGTGTCATCCTTGACTCCTCTTTCACTTTCCCCCACCCCCAACCCCATATCCAATTAGTTGTTGAATCCTGTTATTTCTGCCTTTGTAATCTCTCTCTTATGTGCCTCATTCTGTCCTCAGATACTGTGGTACGAGCCCTTATCACCTCATGCCGAGACTTGCAATACAGCTTTTTGGTCTGTCTTCCTCAGATCTTTCCCCATTACAGTCTCCACCTTTGCTCAGCTGTCACATTGATCTTCCTAAAGTATTGAGTCTGACCATATCATTCTACCTCCTACCCTGCTCGTTCAGTCAACTCCAGGGGCTCCATACTGCCTCCAGGATCAAATGTAAAATCTTCTGTTTGGCTTATAAAGCCCTCTGTGACCTGGCCTCTTCTTACCTTTCTGGTATTTTTACTTACAACCTTACAGCCCTCTGTGTACTCTGCAGTCCAGGGACACTGGCGTCCTTGCTGTTTCTTGCACATGATACTCCCACCTCCTTGCCCTGAGCATTGTTACTGGCTGCCTCCGATGCCTGTAACTCTTTCCCTTCCCATCTCCACCTCCTAGTTTCCTGGCTTCCTTCAAGTCTTACCTAATATCTCACCTGCTGAAAGGAACCTTTCCCAATCTCACTTAATGTTAGTGCCATTTCTCCAATGTTTGATTGTTGGTTGTCTCCAATTTTTCCGTTTATGTCTTGTTTTGTGTGTAGTTGTCTTAGACTGTATGCTCCTTGAGAATACGGACCATCTTTTGCCTTTATAGCTCCACTGCTTAGCACCATCTCTGGCACATAGTAGGCACTTAATAAACTTAATAACTCTAATTGACAAAGCACTTTGAGGGAGATACTACAAGCATTTGCAAATAAAATTGAGTCTCAGAGAGATTAAATGATTTGCTCAGTGCCACAGAGTCTAGTAGGTGTGAGAGCCAGGATTCAAACCGAAGAATTAAACTCGAGTATTATGCTACTGCTCTTTTCACACCAACCTAATTGCAGCATCTTACCTTTCCTTCCTCCTCCGTCTTCTCCCTTCCTCAAAGAAAGGAATAGCACTAGAGTGGGAAGCATTTGTAGACATACATTGAGTGACGTCACATAATATGGGTTCTGTGATTGATAACTAAGCCCAGAATTACAGAATATGTGTGAGTGAAGATGTGGGCGCAAGAGGGACAGTAAGAGATGTCCTGAAGTTCAAGTTAAAAGAAACTGGTTCTGGGAACAATGCTTTATATATCATCTAAGACAGTGAGAGTAGGATTGTGGATTTCACCTTGTCCTTTGGTATATTTTTAGAGTGTAGTCTTTTATTAAGATGAGGATTCTGCCTGATCTAATTTTGGTGATTTCCACTCTTGATTCTATGAAACCTCTGGAGGCTAACTCAGCCTTAAGTGTCAGTTATGGGATTTCTAGATGTGGCACAAGGGAGATATAAAAAAATTAACTTTGCAGTCATAGGAAGACCCTGAAGTGGCTGAATGAACCTGCTGATGGACAGTATTTTTTGTTTTCTATAACTGTGAAACCAGGGCACAGGACTTTTATGCAGCTTTTTTAAATGGTGGGTAATTCAGTATTGAGGGAATGAGGAGTTAGCTCCCCACTGTTGCCTATGTAATAATAGTTGACATAGCACTTTGGAGTTTACAAAAATTACATCAGTTATCTAATTTGAGGTGCCCCACCAAAAACAAACAAACAAAACAAAACCTTATGAGTTAGGTATTACAGGTTTTATCTATGTTTTACAAAGAAGAAAGGTGGGGCTAAAAGGTTAAGAGATTTGACAGTAATCACATAACTAGTGTTTGAGGTGGGAATTGTTCTCAGCTCTCTTCTGATTCCCTAATCCAGTGTTCTTTCCTCTACGTTGCCTGCCTCCATGTAGTCATAGAAACGTCCTTGTTTGGGCCTGGAGTCAGGAAGACCTGAGTTCAAATTTGGCTTCCGACACTTAATAGTTATGTGACCCTGGGCAAGTCACTCAATCTCTATTTGCCTCAGTTTCTTCATCTGTAGAATGAGGATAATAATAACACCTGTCTGCCAGGGTTGTTGTGAGGATCAAATGAGATAATAATTGTACAGCACTTACTAAGTGCTGTGTAAATATTAGCTATTATTATTACCTCCCAGAGTTGTTGAGAGGATCAAATGAGATAATATTTGTGCTTAGCACAGTGCCTAGAACATAGTGGGTGCTTGTTGTTCAGTTATGTTTGATTTTTTGTGACTCCATTTGGGATTTTTGTG